CCCCCAACAAACAAACACACGGGAATAGAACTATGAGATCTTTTGAGGGTTAGGATGGAGCGCTTGACTGCTACATCACAGACGCCGGTTTTATCGATATAACTGAAGAAAAAAAGATTTATCTATTGACCATTACCGAAGCATAGTTCTAAGAGAAATGTCATTGGACCCTTCAAGTAGCAAATACGCCACCTCCTGGTTACAATACCAAACCATTTCCAAGAACCAGTCAGTGTGACGATGGCATCTCATTTTTATTCCACCCTGGAGACGTTATTACCAGCACCAAAAACTAAAAACTGTTTTCCACTTTCCTGTTTGTTTTTTGTTTGTTTGTTTTAGTAGAAGTTTTACGGCGCTCCGAACTGCATAAGGTCATATGAGCGCCAGAAGATTAGAGGTGTTACAAGAGAGTAACAAACATAAAAAAGAAGTAGTGGAGAAAAGGACGATAGATGTTTGATAGGAAAGAAGAAGCAAACCACACCAGATCCCCCGCCAACCACCCACTTCCACTTTCCTGTCTCTCTGTCAAGTAGCATCTTCTGAAATTAAAAACATCCCATTGCTACATCGTATCCGTGTATTGATCTACACACCTAGAAACAGAACAGTCAGTAGCTCCTGTGTTCGGTGACCTCCTTTCCACCCTCAGTACCCTGGAGGATTTTGTTTAAAATAGGCGTGGTGTTTTACCGTTTTTACTATTCATTTTCGTTTTGTTTGTTTTGTTTTTCTTTTAAGTAAGAATTTTACAACATTTGCAACACAAATAGGCCATACAAAACGTGTATGACATTAAAGATGTTACTAGAGAGCATCATTCAAAGAAATGAAGGAGTGATAAAAAGATAGATGTCTGACGGGAAAAGAGGAAACAAACCTTACCAGAGCACCCGCTCACACACACCCACATGCGTTTACACTCCCATCGAGATAGTTGAGTCCTTTTAGGAGACGTACTTCGAGCCTGCCTGTAAGGGATGACCCGGGTTTAGATGGGTGCATCGTCAAAGAAAAGACCCGTGAAACTTGACAAAAAATCTCCCTAAACGGGAATCGAATTCGGGTCTTCTGCGTGCAAAGGACACGACAGTAATCGCCACATCCCATGGGTCTGAACATCCATGACACCGTGACTTTCAGCTCTATTTGAGATGGGAATGACCCTAAGCAATTAATGCTGACCATCCCTACACAGCCTATTGTGGTCACATCCTTGACTTCGTCATTACATTTAAGAACAAACCTGCAGTTAGCAATCTGATTGTCACCGGCGAAGCCAGTTCTGACCACCATCTACTTGTATTTGGCTTGGCTGTCCAAAAATATCAAAGACCTCAACGATATTTGTGGTCTTGAAATACGAAAATTTTAGATGCCACATCTTTTACAGGGGGAATTTAACAGTTTGCTATCGGATATGGCAGCTGTTTCTTTTTTTAAATGACGTTGTTTTTACGCCCTCGTCGACCCAATTTAGATCATAATATAGGAGACCTGCTTTGACCCTGTCTGTCAGGGCCATCCCAGGCAGAGAGGGTTACAACGTACCAGCAGAAAAACGCTCGAAGAAACAGAGAGAAAGAGAGAGATAGAGAGGAGAGAGAGAGAGAGAGAGAGAGAGAGAGAGAGAGAGAGAAATAGACAGACACAGAGAGAGAAAATCAGTAA